CCAGAAAAGCCCATTTCTAGTAAATGCTTTTGGTATAATACTTTGGGAACCAAAAACCCTTCAGACATGGTACCCAGACCCTAGGTCCGTTTAGTGTTGCACCGCAAACAGTACTCTTAAATGTGGACGGGGTTATTGTCACTCACTTCTCAATCCAGCTCTTGCTGTATTTTGTATTTCCTTATCACCGGTGACACAGAGGAAAGTCTGAGAGGTCCGCGGTCGTTATGTGTTTTAATGTGTAGGTATGTAAATGTTTTCAAAGACGTTTATGTGGAAATAAAAATACCTACAAGTAGTTATGTTTTCTTGTATTAATACATATACAAGTATGGCAGCTTTACACACTCTCCCATGACGGTGCTTAGTAGGGATGTCTTGATCCAATCCTTGGATCGGGTATTGGCGCCGATCACGTTATTTTTACAAAATCGGAATTGGTAATAAAAGATCGGAGGAATCAAAACAACAAAAATGGCCAGGTTTTTCAAATATGTCATTCATTGTTGCCTCCGTTTTCCAATGTATAAAGTGTGGCGATCCTGTATATTTTATAAATATATTTTTTTATAAGACAGTGGTTATCAGCTGATGGCTTGCTCACCTCCAGACACACCCACCAGTGCTATCGGCCAGTGGGATGGCTCGATCAGCTGAGCCCAGGTAGACCAGCCCCTACATTATGTCGCTCCTGGCAGTATGGCGAGAGACACCGGCAAGTGAGAAATGAGCCAGAAGTCCTCTGCATATTTAGCCTACCACGGCATTTTACACCGCTCAAAGTCCGCGAAAAAGATACGCTTCCCTGTGGAATATCATCCATCCGGTCACCGGCCTCACTTCAGATTCCCCGCCACGGATATCAAGGGATACTACAGAGCCTCCACGCCCGAAACAATGCCGGAGCGTTACGGCATTCACCCATGGTCCCGTGAGTTGGCAAAAGCCAGGGGTTACTTTTCGTTGCATTATTTCTTATTTGGAACCTTTGGGCCGGGTTGATTTATTGTTTTGAAACTGAACTGAGTCAGAGCGAACAGTGGATTTTCTTTACTTCCTTGTTTACGAGAAAACCTGGGGTGGAGTTTTCTTTTGTTTAGTGAACTGTGTGGATTGAACTGAATTGTACTGTGATATGTTATTTGGAAATCCCGAAGTGGAGTTTTTTGTGTGAACTGGATTGAACTGACTGAACAGTACGGAACATTTCTTTTCTTTGGTTAAAAAAATATGTACTTTCTTGAAACTGATTACAGTTGTATTTGTATTTTTGAAAATTGAGTATAATTCTTTTGTTCTGCAGAAACCAGGTAAAAACAATTTAATTTTTGTGTTAAGGGACCTGTTTTATGGGTTTTATGGTTTCTTTGTGGTGTTTGAGTAAGAGAAAAATATTTGTTTCATGTGTCAAACCGCTACAAATATATAGGCCTATTTTGTTTGTTAAAGACAAGAAGAAGATATTGAATTTGTTTACATTTTGTGCTGCTGAACCACCAATAAGCTTTTTGGATACTATTTAAATAAAAAACAAACCTTATGGGACAACTTGGATGTATTCCGTTTTTTTTTTTCTCTCTTTCTTGATGCTTTGCAAAGTATCGGATCGGACTTGGTATCAGACTCGGTTTCAAAATAAAGGACTCGGATCGGATGCAAAAAAAAATGTGATCGGGACATCCCTAGTGCTTAGTGCACCTCGGCCACAATTTCCAGTTTGAAAAATGGTCCCTCCCCTTCCACTACATAGCCAAGATGGCGACCATTGAGGGTGAGAAGTGTCCATAGTTCCATACTCAACTTCTTAACCATTTTGAGTGCACTATCCGGGTACTCATAGTGCACTGCATTTTTCCATACTTCTCAGTGTGAATGCACTTATGCACTCAAAATATAAAGTGTAAGTACAGAAATACGCAATTTGAGAAACAGCATAGGTCAATTGAAACCAGCCACACGGCGAGTAACCTAGCTAAACTGTTGTCCGAGGTGATAAAAGAGTGGAAGCTAAGCTCTGCTGTCACCTCAAGTATGCAGGAACAAAAGCGATCTCTGAACTCTGACAGAGGAAGATATAACAGTTGCAGAATATGTGGTAAAAGCTCTAAAGCCACTGACGGCAGCCACACTTGTAATGTCTGAAGAGAAGTCCCCAACTCTGTCCGCCATTGCGCCTCTGCATACACAGCTGTTGGAGGAGATGAGCAGTGCCCCGCATGACCCCACAGTGATAAAGGACCTCAAGAATGTTGTCTATAACAACTTGAAATCAAGGTAGGTTTACTTAACGTGTATTGTGTGTTACCCTTGATTTATATCAGGCATGAAAATGGGTCAGGGGTGAAAAAGGTGAGAAGGATACGAGACCCGGAACCTGCTAGGGGGTCCCGAGGTTATGATCCTCGATTGTTTTTTTTTTGGTGGAAAAATGAGCTTCAAAATGCTCTGATTTTTTTTTTTAGATTTACTCTAGTGGTGGGCACATGCAGAATTACAAGACTGCACAAAAAAACAGTATGAATGTATAATTAAAGGACAACTTCGGTATTTTTCAACCTGGGCCCTATTTCCCCATGTGTATGTGTGCGTATGATTGATAGGTACAACTCGTTTTAAAATTGGTTCAGTATTGAGGGAGGCCGATGCAGCCGGCAGCCGCGAGGTAGATATGGGGGCAAATGCGTCCTGTATAAGTTTGCGCATTAAAAGTGCTTTTTTCGCCACTGACCGGTTCAGATCGCCAGTGCTATCTCTGTAAACAGCATACTAAGCGTTTCCCTTACCCTTCACTTGAAATGGAAGCCAAGATCGGCAGTTCAGGAGGCAGAGGCAGCTCTTAGGCATGCAGAGATTGTAGGTAATGTTCAGTTTGGCCGGGGAGGCCTGGGGCTTGGCTCAGGCAAACCGGTATGGAATAAAGCAGGTCTCAAATATAAAATAAAGCTGGTTGTTTAACAGATTCTTAGACAGGATGAGATTTTAATGGGTGCAAAGGTAGTGGCCCAGGCTAAACAGGGACAGTGGTTGAAGTGGGAAAGTGTAGAGAAGAGGAAGCTTAGTTGGAGGGACCTGTGGAATATAGAGGAGAATCGTATTAGATTCCTGGTAGGGGCTACATATGATGTGTTACCAACCCCCTAGAACCTTAAACTGTGGGTAAATGTGGACTCATCATGCCCATTGTGTTCAGGTACTGCAACCTTAAAGCATATTTTGTCAGGCTGTAAAGTTAGCTTGTCACAAGGCCGATATACATGGCTACATAACCATGTGTTGAAAAGTTTAGCTGCAGGCATCGAAGGGAAATGAAGACAGGTGAATTCAGAAGGTTTTAAGGATAGGAGTTTAGCAATTCAGTTTGTCCGTGAGGGGTAGAAATACAGAAGGGATAAGTTAGTAAGGAGTCAAGGGTGTGGCCGCCTAGAAGGTGCCTGTGATTGGGAAATGCAAGTAGATTTAGGGGGAAAGCTTGTTGTTCCCCAGGAAATAGTTTGTACCATGCAGAGGTCTGACATAGTGTTGTGGTCAGTGAGTCAACGGATAGTTTATTTCATTGAGCTGACAGTTCCTTGGGAAGACTCAGTGGAAGAAGCCTATGAAAGAAAAAAGCTTAGGTATGCAGACTTAGGAGCAGTTCTGAGCAGCGAGGATGGAAAACTAGGATTTGTCCAGTGGAAGTGTGGTGTAGGGGATTCATAGCAAGATCAGCTGTCTCGCTCCTGGGGGAACTCGGAGTGTGGGGACAGAGTTTGAGGAAGACAGTAAAGGAAATGTCAGATGAAGCAGCCAGAGCTCGTCGGTGGATTTGGATGAGAAAGAATAATGTCAGTTAGGGGCCAGCAGGGGGAACTACTAAGCAGGGTACATAACTCCTTGAGATCAGGTGGAGAGATCCACCAATCAGTCCTCTCAGGAGTAAATCCAGGAAGAGGAAGGTTATTTAAGTGTGGGAGTAGCCTATTTGAATCCCTTTTGTTTGAGACAATGCTGCAAGGTGAGTGTGTTTGCTGATCCTGTGTGTTTATCTACCTCCTTAACTTTAGCTTATATTGGAGTTATGCTATGTAGCGTGTGAAACAGAGTATGGTGAATGTGCTAGGAAAGGTAGTATCAGCTCTGCTTCTACCTGGAGCTCGCAAGAACGGAGCCTGGGTTTGTTCAAGGTGGTGGTGCTGTTTCGGCTGAGAAAGCCATGTGTAAGGTAAAGGAGGTTGTTGGGTTGGTGCGGGGAGCAGTGAGACCTGGCATTAGGGGAGTGTCTCTGGGACGCCAGAGATCACTGTCTAGCCTCCTGGAGGTGTCGTGGGACCAACTAGACGAAACACTGGTGAAAGGAGGTTCCCACCTGATGACCCCAAAGACATGTTAGTTATCACTGCTCACTGGTCTGTATAGTTAAGCCTTGCCATAATAGTTTATCATAGGGCTTAGGAGGTTATTGACTGAGTGCTGTTCCTTTCTCTAGAGCACAAACTTCTTGTGTTTATTTGAATTAACTGCATTATATTGACCGAACTGACAGTTATTACATTTAACTGAAATCATATTTTATGCATGTTATAATTTTATTACCTTCTTGGACACAACTCATAACCATAGGCTACACATTAGTATCACAGGAGCAAGCAGCAGACCAGCAGCAACAGTGCCGCAAAACTCGGAGCGCTTAAGACAATCAGCTCATGGCACAGTTGACACACAAGTGAAAGTACATGTAGTGTGCATGCATGTGTGTTTGTGTGTCCAACTCCAACACTGAAGGGAGAAGCAATTTCAAACCATGCAGACATCTCCACGGCTGACATCTCCAACACTCAGCAGCTCACATCTAGACAATATAGATTTATAAAAAGCACTACAGTTAAGAGAAAAAATATATAGTTTTGATTCTGGGGTGAACTGTCCCTTTAATAATGGTAAGACCTTTAAATCATACTGTCAATTATTCAACATGCATTTAAAGCCTGGTGTCAACACAGTGATGAAACTGCATTACTCACCAGCCTGCCGTTTCCTGAGTGTGACATAAGGCAATAGGTCATGTCGGGTGATAATCCTTAGAAGCTGGAGAACGTGTCGGAAGTTGGTCTCATCACAGCGACCCTGGCGCTCTAGGGCCAGCAGGAAATCCCTTCCACTCTTGATGCCACCGCGCTCATACTCGTCAATCACGTCAACAAAAAGGAATGACAGTACCCTGACATCACGATGGGTTAGCTGGGCTCCAACTATGTCAAACATGCGGTGAAGTGAGTACAGCCCATGGGAATTGTCCACTGCTTCCTCAGGCCACGGCTCGAAGCCCACATCTCTTCTGGACAAGCTGGAGTTGGTGCAGGATGCAGAATTGTTCCTATTGGCCAGCTCTCCGCTGGCTGCTGCCACCCCGGAGCAGCCCGGCCTGCCTGTCAGAGCTCTGTGATCCAGACGCCCAGCAGTTGCACTGCTCTGACTTGAGTCCAGCTGATTAGCCTGAATGTGATGCCGGGCCTGCTGAGCAGAGGAGTTCTGGGCAAGCTGGGGAGGAATAACAGCATTGGGAAGGTGAGGCTGCTGTGATGTCATCTCAGGGCCCGTTGATGGTAGGGGATGCTCAAATCCCTGCAGTTCCTGCTGTCTTTGTCTGCTCCAACTGATGAGCTATGTACAAAGAGCATACAACCATTCATTAATTGTATGATCATTTTATACCAATCTTATCAGCGGCCATCATCTTTGACATGATATAACTGCAAACACATGCAGGGTTTCACACAGCTTATTATTGTGGAGGTGAACCACCTCATCTAATGTCATAAATCATTACTATTTTCAAGACATTCAGAGACACACAGCGACACTTCAGCATGACCTAATCAAGCCAAGGCCACTTATTTGATAAAGGAGAAAATTGTGTGGACTAGAGTAAAATGGTAAATTGACTTCACTTACATAGAACTTTTCTAGTCTTCCAACCACTCAAAGTCACATTCACCCATTCACACACACAAGTCACACTGGTGGCCAAGGCTACTATACATGGCAGGGGTGGAAGGAAAAAACTATACAGCATTGTATCGCAATATTTTGTATGGCCGTATTGTATCAACACACGGACGCCAAGTGTTCATTTTTTACTGCATACATTAGTTTTTGCAAATACATTCAAATTTAAATACAACTTTTTGTATATACTAGTAATACAACTAGCCAAGCTAAAACTAACACGCGTTTTATAGTTCTGCGTTGAACGTTGACATAGAGCCTATGCTGTAACCTATGCCGTAGCCTAACATGCACCTCCCTAGAACTGGAGCTTTGCGTTGCGGTGACGCAGACCTCATGTCTGTCGCTGTATACTGACACCTTGAGCTTGTATTTACTTGTATTTCACAGATAAGAAACAAGGCTGTGGCCCTTTGCATGTCATCCCCTCTCTCTCTCTCTCTCTCCCCCTTTCACACTTAACTGTCCTGTCCATTAAAGGCAAATAATGCCCAAAAAAAATCTTTAAAAAAAAAAAAAAAAAAAAAAAACACACCAGGCTACACAGCCTCTCTACCTGAGCAGGTGAAGCTGCGGCTCACACCCTTGACACACAGACGGTGCTTCTGCATGCCAACGTGTGCGCAACTGTGAGAAATAAATATGTGAGTTGTACGCTGCTTTTCTATCTTTTTTTTATTTTTCTTTCTTTCTGTCAGCGACATACACTCCATACGCTCTGATAGCACCCGAATCAGCATGTACGCATCAATCAGCTGGATGATTGATGCATACAAGCAGCTGCACGGACATTTCCACCGCTCTGTGTAGGCTTAGTTACCTTTTAAATTATGTGGAGCAGCGCCAGCTTTCCAGGTGATTTATTCTTCAATAATTAACTTCAAATATTTAAAGTTAGTCCTTAAAATTGCTTTCAGTAATGTATTTCCATGCGTGCAGTAATGTCACTGTAGCAAATACCGTGGGACATTTACACAGTGGTCAAGAGTGCTGTGTAGTGTAGATAAGCGTTGGCTACAATGTTTTATCATGATTTATTTTATTAAGTGTCAATTTCATTCATTTAACATATTCAATGTTGAGTTTCATTACATACAGTTCCATTAAGGGGGGGTGTCCAAGCAATTTGACATATTTGAGCATTTTATAAAAAAGTAACGCTATGGTTACCTTTACAGGTAATTAGCTACTTTGATAGTGCAATGCTCAGTTACTAACTCAGTTACTTTTTGGGGAAAGTAACTAGTAATTATAACTAATTACTTTTTTTAAAGTAACATTCCCAACACTGGTGGTCTGTATTTTTCTGGTGAAATCTGACACATGACATGAGCGATGGCTCATCGTTATCCTACCAAAAAAAATAATAATAATAATCGCTAGTCTACATGGTAGTTGTAGTCTACTGCAATAACGACCATTCGTAGTATCCTGTATATCCAACTACAATTCCCACAATTCCTGTGCCGTTACCTCTAGCCTTTCCCCCGTCATTACTTCACTTCAGCAAGGCGGCGGTGAAAATGAAGAGGTATTTTCAGCCCCTCGACAAAAACCCCAAACAAAAAGAGAACGAAAGAGAAAAAGACATACTTGAAGAGAAAGATGTGCCAATTCCGCAAAATAAAGATATACAGACAAAAACGATGTTTTATGATTAACTGTTCATCCTATGATACCAAATGAGCGAATGTTTTTATTGTATTACTGTATTGCATCATTGTATTGTTTGTGAAACTGTTGGCAGTGACTGAAGTCACTAGTACTGTCGCTCGCATCTGACTACTTCTGACACCATGTTCAGTTATTTATTGGTATAACCGCAAACCACTCATGAACCACGCAGGCTTCAGGTACTTGAGCAACCCATTAATTGTTCCCCTGCAACACAATATAGCATGAGTTCCCACCTTACAGGCTGGGACCTATCACTACAGTTGACCCACGTCTTCCAAAGCTGCTGGAGCATCCGTGGGCGGTGTTACCATGTTGTCTCTCTAATGTTTGTTTAGCAGCAGGCTAACCTGCCGGGAAGGTGCCAGTGAGAGATCATGCGACCACCTAGGCGTACTGCGGCGTGCTGCTGCATGCAAGTTACATAACTCTTGTTCGGCGAATGTGTGGGGTTTCAACCTGGTTTCAACGTGTGTTTTCAGTTGTTTTTGTGAAGTCATTTGCATACTCGATAACCTAAATTTGCACATCGTTAAAACAACAATGAAGATATTATCGTTAACGATATATATCGCCCACCCCTAATTGATATCCTTTGCCAGTGTGTTTAAATGATGAACCGCATTACTTGTGATTTGTACAGGTGGTAATGGACACTTCATATTTGTGCTACAAACTTTCTGGCCTGTGCTAAAAAATTATCAGTTTGGTTGAGGCACTGTTCAACAATTGAACAATCAAACACAACCATCTGAGAAACAAAATGAATAATGATTTAAAAAGATTGAGAAACACTGAGAATTCTGTCACACAAAGCTGGACGAGCACCACAAGAATAACAAGGCATGGCAGAAATGGTCAGTCAGGTCTTAAAATGCAGAGAAGTCATTAGCAGCATTCTATTGCCAAATTAAATACACTCATTTACATTGTTCATAAAGTTCTCAGAGAGCAAATATGCAATTATGAACACAATAACTCAACATTATTATCATATGACCGTTTGGACTACACTTACACTACACCATAACACCAGCAAAGGCTAATTTAGCTAACTAAAGCAAAATTTATGCAAACTAGGGTGAAAAGACATCTCTGATTTCCGAGAATAGACTCCATTTTGGATGGCCTGTCCCTATGTCTCCACTTTTTGCAGAGCTGCCAACTTTCATGCAGACTGTGTGTTTCACGCAATTAATACTTTTCACATGTTCTCACGCAGAGAAAAACAAACTGACCACTAGGGATGCATAATATTGGATTTTTGCCGATATCAGATATGCCAATATACTACAACTTTACTTTTTCCCCACGTAATTTTAGTGATCATCAAGTCTCTTCTGTAGTGGAGTTATCATCATATTATGCATGGATACGCTTATCGTGATGGCCCCCCAGCAGATGGAGACATGAAATACAATGCTTTTCAATGTATATAATATTAATTCATTGTGCATAAACAAGAAAAAGCATGTTGGCCAATTCCATATTCGGATAACAAATCAAAAATTTTGCTCAGGTTTGGCCCACTTGACATGCTGCTGTGTTGTGCTATGGCCTGTTCAATAGACTTGCACCGATTACAATTTTTTGGGCCACTACCGATTTCCAATTTGCAGTGTTTAGATGGCCGATTCCGATTTCATTTTTTTCAAACCACTTTATAGCACACAATTAACAACTTTCTCCTTCTCTTTTTGATATGTGTGCGTGAATGATTAAGGTGAGAAGCCGCCCATGTTTCACTTGCTCACATCACCCAAGCCGCAAGTTGCACATGTGCGTGTGCATGCGCTGCTGATGTTACACGATGTCAATCATGCTGCACACCGGGAATTTGACCGGCGTTTTAAATCGGCATATTTTAGACTGACTGGCCGGTCACAGGTCATGGCCGATCACGTGAAAACCGTCCCGATTCCGAGCACTGCCGATTAATCAGTGCAAGTCTACTATCGTCATGTGAATGAGGTACGTTTAAACATTTTGAAGCTGTGTAACAATTAATTTAATTTTGCTGAGTTTCATCATCACGACATAAAATTATTTTCACGATTACACATTTCTTAATAGCTCACAGTCTAAGTTCTATGATCGGTTGATTTCACTGTCCATTCATTACTAGGAGCGCTTTTTTTTTTCTTTTTGTAACAACCAATCACAGCTTTTAGAAGACAGCGTCATATCTAGCAACGGGGTCAACCACACCTACTTACTAAGATAAACGTTTCTGTCCCCTCCTTGCTCAGAGTTGCTCTCAGAAACTTCCTGAATCACTCTTAAGCTAAGATTCCTTGCTAGGAAGTTTTAGGCTAAGTTAGGAGCTCTCTGAGAGGACTCTGAGAATCTTTGTGAATACGGACCCTGTTCTATAGGAAAGGTAACCTTAAATGACTTCTGTTGTGATCTGGCCCTATATAGAAAATAACATTAAATAAAATTTATTTGCCCTTCAAGGGGGGGTGGGAGGCGCCACACACAGACAAATGCGCACACACACACAGGTGAGCAAGAGTCGGGCGCATTTTCCTGAATGAACGTGACCCGAGTCCAAGACAATTTTGACCGAGCCTGGCCTGAACCCGCCAGACTCTCTGGTGGCGGTGGTGTAATGGTGTGGGGAATATTTTCTTGGCACACTTTGGACCCCTTAGTGCCAAATGAGCATTGTTTAAATGTCACAGCCTACCTGAGTATTGTTGCTGACCATGTCCATCCCTATATGACCACAGTGTATCCATCCTCTGATAACTATTTCCAGCAGGATAATGCGCCATGTCACAAAGCCACATCATCTCAAACTGGTTTCTTGAACATGGCAATGAGTTCACTGTACTCCAATGGCCTCCATATCACTAGATCTCAATCCCATAGAGCAACCTTAGAATGTGGTGGAATGGGAGATTTGCATCATGGATATAGGGTTAGGGTGATGCTATCATGTCAATATGGACCTAAATCTCTGAATAATGTTTCCAGCA